TGACATTTATAGAAAGTATATAATAAATACTGCAAAAACCAGACAACTATCGGACTATCTTATGTTTCCATGTCTCAGGTTTTCTGTCATTGACAGGATTTAGTCTTATCACTTTTCTATTGTTCTCTATTGCCTACACAAATGTTCTGAAAATATTTCTTTTCCCTTTTATTAGATTGGGCGAAAAAATAAGTTCTCTTTCTAATAAAACTGTCTAATATCATTTACTTAGAAATTATTTAAACAAATTTCTAAGATCATAGGTTTACCAAAAAATTTTTGGTCTTCATTATCATTGCTGTCTTCTTTAGTTTGTAAATTCATAAGTTCATAAAGATTTATATCTTCAATTTCTATGGAAAAAATACACAAGAACACAAATAAAAGCTCCAAATAACAATGCAAAAGAAAAAGAAAATTTCAATGTACTTTGAAATGCCCTCTAATGAAAAAGAATTTGTTTCCAGAAAGATGGCACTGCACCAATACAGAAATACAAACACACAATTTCTGGATTTTGTATCTATATTTCCCTGTATTTGAATTGCAATAATTCAATTTCTTCCATTCTGTCCACATCTCATGGGTTCCAGTTTTCAGAGAACATTTGTTAGATTAATTTCTAGAAGTTTTCTGCCTTATTCAGATTCTGGTTTTTACAGGTTTTACTGTATATTACAATTTAAATTCCAAAATAACAATAAAATCTTACTTTAAACAAACCAATCCAGTCCCATCCATTTGGTTCCCAATTTTCATTAAAATAATACATAGCTTCTCCATCTTGATAAGATTTCCAACTTTTGATTGGAAGAAAAGTAACTTTCTTTTCCAGTGGATCAGGAAATACCTAAAAGTATCATCAAAGTTAAATTATTAAATAAGATTTCATTCAATTCAAAAATCTAAAAAGTTTTAGAACAAGAATATAAATCAGAAATATTCACACATGGATTAATTATTATTCATCTAATGCTTATATATATAAAAAATAACTTTTTTCCATTAAAATGATTTTTGGGTTTGGCAGGCCCACAATGAGGACTGGGAGATGAATGACAGGACTTGATATATCTGGGACAAACTACTCATGAAAAATTATTCCTGGGGAGTTGATTGCTTAGATTTCATCCTGGGTTCCCAGAGTGCTAGACAGTCACCTTAACCACAAAATGATTTTTTTAATAAAAAAAAATTGAAGTTAGCATTAGTTTTTATCATTTGCCGAAAGCCTCTATTTAATCTACACAATGAAACAAATAATGTATGTAAAAATTATGAGAGAAAACAAAACAAAATAATTAAAATTAATAATCTTCTATAATAATGGACAGTTAAAAAAATACGTATAAGAAATTTATTAGCATAATAAAATAAAACAATAATTTTGGTGTGTCATGAAATAACACAGCAAAATTACAGGCTGTTTATTATTAATCTGATTTATAATTTTGCTATTGACTTTAGATGCAAGATTCAAATTTTTAATAGTATAAGTTTTAAAATTTTTATCCATCCCTTCATATTCTAAACTACTTATGTGAGATAGCAAAATTTCCTATATTAGAAATAGTCTTTAATAATAACATTTTGCGAATTACGCAACAAGTGTTGTTCTTAGCTACCTGAGAAAGTCTCCCATTACATTTTCTCGAAAGCAACATGACGCTTTCTCGTGAACTATTAACCTCTGCACGGCCTAAATCGCCCGTGAATATCACCAGAGACGGCCGAAAAGAGTCAGTTGCCGCCGTTCCTCTAGATAGAAGTCATCAGATAGCAACCGAACTTTTTTTTTTTTGGTGCCTCCTATTTGGATTATTTGCAACAGGATTTATTAAGTGCCAAAGAAACTTGAATGAACGTCGTCGCTAGAACTTTGGATTAAGTCAAGAACTTGATTATCAATTATCAGCTATTCAAGATTCAACCAAACTCCAGGTATTTATCACCCCGCGAATCGTATGTGAACTCTCTCTCTCCGCGACAACACTTTATCCAATAGATTTTTAAATAAACCATTGTTAATTGTTAAGTGTATCTGAGTCACTTCCAATGTTGTCTCTCGAACCAACATTACGAATCCGTCTGACCACGTACGGGACCGCTCACATGACTGCATGACGTAATCGCCGTCTCGGTTTCCGTGTTTCGAGAAACACAGTGGTGTCAATCCTGACAGGGTGCCAAAGAGGTGCCGACCCGAAAGGTCACACTTATCTTTGGAATGATAGAAATTAACTTATGTTTTATCTCATCATACTTGATTTTACAAGTTAAACTTTATAAATTTAGCATATTTTATTTTGAGGATGAATGGCTAAGATAGAAAATGAAATAAACATAACATTACAGATGTAACAATAGTCTTTGAAAACTGAATTTTTTTACAGAAATTGAAACATTCAAGGTAATGGAATGTTGTGCAAAAATTGTCACATCTTATAATTATGACAATAACATCAAATAAATGACAAATGACTTTTTCAAACAGTTGTCACTTACTCATCTTTGAATTTATTTTATTTTTATTTATTTAATTTATTGACAACAGCAACTAAGAATATCAATAGAATTATTAAATTACATATAAATTAAATGAAATTATGTTAATGAGATGGTCAATAGTGACAACATCACTTTTTTCATGATTTCAAATTTATTATTGCATTGATAGTTAATTAAACTACCTGAACAGAATAAATAAAAACAAGAATACATTTTTTATATTAATTAAACCATTTGATAAGATTTATCTTGTTTTGTTCTGACAAGATAAAATTTTAAAGCAACATAATAAATTCTTCATGCTGAAAGAGAAAAACTAATCCAATTTTACTATTTTAGTTGAACTGATACTATACTGTGAACAATAAAATCATTTAATCTAAGATAATTTAAAAGATAATAATTATGTTAAAATGACTAAAAAATTTTATAATGTCTGAAACATAAACAGAGATAACAGAAAAGTTGTATAAGTGTTTATGGAAATTATTTACTAAAATTTATATCAGCTAATGGACACAAAGACAGCAAAGCAGATAAATGAATATGACACAAAGACATGAAAAAATATAACAGAATTATGCCTCATAATCGAAATTTCAGAACTGATTTTAATCTGTTCATGAATTTGTTAAAAATCATCTATTCTATCACAGTTATTTCTTATCATTTATAATATTTATGTAGCGGCATAGATAGAATATATATTAGTAATCAATAAAAAAAATATAACAATCTACTTACTTTGATTAAAAAGGAACCAGAAACAGGTTTATGATCACTCTGTGAATAATGTGAATGACTTGAATAATGTAACTGCTTTACATCTAGATTAGTATGAGAATAAGCTTCACGAGTGAATCGGTATAAGATGCGATCTGTCCAAGCTGGCTTTCTTTTTCTAAATATAATCAAAACCAAAATTAGAAGTTATTTTCTAAATTTAACAATAATGATTTTAATGATCATTCAATAAAAATATCTGAAATGAATCTATGTACAGTACAGGATTTGCTATGGAAAAAATACACAAGAACACAAATAAAAGCTCCAAATAACAATGCAAAAGAAAAAGAAAATTTCAATGTACTTTGAAATGCCCTCTAATGAAAANATATATTTTTGATTATATAATAATGAAATTTAATGTTTCTTAAACAAAAAACATGTATTTACATGATTAGCATTGTATGCTGTGATTAAAAAATGCAACTAATCTCAAATATAAACAAGTTGGAAAACATTAAATTGTATTAGTAGTAATTATTTGATAAATATAATTAATATATATATATATAACAAGAAGAATTTTAGTCCACATTATAAATATGAAAATGGAATAAATTGTTAAAACCTTCGCCTCTGACAGATCATATAGAGAATTCTAAATGAGCCGTAAAAATCATTTACATCTCAAACAGAAAAATGGATCATAAAATTATAAATTAAAGAAAATTAAGTTAAAATCATAATTTTAAAATAAAATATATTGTTTCTAATTTGGATTAAATTTGTAAGAAGTTGAAAATATTTTTGTTTGAAAGTGTAATTAATTTATTAAGACTCATATGGAATTCTCTTTACAAATATAAATGGAATATCATCAGCAGTACATATATATATGTACAAAAAATATTGGTCTTTGTTGAGAATTTATCAAATAATACTTTTTAGTATCCTGAGAATAAGGAATGATTAACAAGTTTAAGTACATCAATATTAAAATAATAAATTGTATCTCCTGCTTTTCAATACATTCTATAAATCATTTATATTCAGATTAATTGTCAGTACTACTTGAAACAACTTGGCAAGCCAACATTCATCTGAATCATTCGTTTTAATGGATCAAATGGACGTATTAATAAATACCAAACAGTAACATTCACAGTCGAATCTAACATGAGTATCACATTACTACTTTAATTGATAGTTTCAGAAATTTTATTTCTAGTAAAATAAGATTTATGTTTAAAAATCTTAAAATTTCATTAATAAAAATATATTTGAACTACACTAAAATACTGTTATGAATTCTGTTTAAAATTCAAATTTTGTGTGTTGGTATAATTTTATAATTAGTTAAGTTAATAAACTAAATTCATTCTGTAGTGATCAAAGCTTACAGTTTATATTAATTTATATTGTTTTAATGTAACTGAATCTATTCTGGTTAAATTACAAATATAGTAGGATCTATCATGTAAATGATTGCTTAATTTTGCACATTGATATGAATCAATGATGGAATTTTAATTTATTAAAATGTTTTTATGGAATTTATAATACAACAATATCAAATATTTTGATAACTGAATATGAAATGGACTACTGCAACAAACCTGATGATGATTAAAAATTGCACTCTGTAATTTTAAAAAATTAACTGTCTATGATGCTTCAATTTTATACCTCAACTGTTTAACAAGAAAATTTTGTTTCTTTTTTTTAAATTTACAGCCATTGAATAATTGTCTATTTACACATTCAATCTCTGGTAACCTGAAAAAAATAATTTAGTAAATTAGTAAATTAGTTTCAAACATTAAATTTAAAATGTGAATCAACTGCATATATATTATTATTATTATTATTATGAAATTCATAAATGAAAAAATTCAAAAGCGTTATTCATCTCATTAGAAGCAACAAAAATATTTCAGAAATTAAAGCTAATTGATGATGTTAAAAAAACTAAGATTTTAATGTAGTTTACATGTGGAAGTATTTATAAAAAAACTACAAATGCTTTATCAATAAGACAAAAACATTTCTTAAATGTTTTCTTTTATTTGTTAGTTTCTTTAAACAATCAATATATCTTTATATATTTGGGTCTAAAAAAATAATAAGAATTTGTATTTGTGAAATAAAAACATAATTAATTTTTAGTTTATTAGTTCAACATATAGCAATTTAGCAAATAGAAATATAACAAACATAAGTTTATAAATATGATGATTTGATTAGTTAACCTGAAGCATTACCATATTAAAACTGTAAGGTTGGCACAATTACACTAATTGAGAAGTTCTATGAAATAACTGAAAAAGTGCATTCAGATACCTTAATTGTTTTATTATGCATGTAAAATAGTTTTATGGATATTTTCCTTAATAAAATACACACTTAATGTAATAATAATCAAGTGTATGTAATATTTAAACTTTACTTACTTCATTACAAACCTCATCAAAAAACAGTGTTTTGAAAATTCCCAAAAACATCAAAATTTAACTTTGTACCTTATTCCATAGAACTCCTCAATTACAGCTGACTGACTGTATTAAACTCCATCATGACACAAAGTCATTAAGCAGCCAGAGATGGGAATTGACATCCAGATTCATAGTATACCCAAGACAAATTATAGATCTGATCAGGTTTGAACAAGATCGAGCACCTCAACATTAAGTTATCTTTACTATATATGATTCCTAATGACTTTATATATACTACTTCAATTTATATTTACATTAGTAAATCTATTTCGTAAATTCTTATTGTATCTATTAATTTTGCATAATTTCCATCATATATAGATGACTCTAAAATATCATAAATCATCTGAAGTTTATTTCAGTTAGGTTTCATGATATAGAAGAATTTTCAACAGAGTTTAGATTTTAAGTTTTTGAAAGTAAATATAATAGAAAAACATAAACACACAAAAGTTTAAAGTGTAAAGAAACCAGAGATAGAATTCAATCTGTAAGTAATTTGTGCTTATTCAGAACTGTATCAGAATGTCAGTAAAATCCAATCACACAAAAATAAAGAAACAGAATAAATATTATTAGCCTGTTGTTTACTTAAAGTGTCAACCAAGTTTGATATGATACACACAGAAAAACATTTATGATTGTTAAAACTTTAATAGAAAATTATAACTGATTTATTTAAATAAATTATTTAAGGAAGCAAAGAATAATTCAGTTTTGTCAATTTCCTACAATCAAATGACACAGTAAAACAGAGAAAATACTGATATAGTATCTTCTGTTTCATTTAGATATCCTATGGCATATGAAAGTTAAAAGTTTATTTTATGTTGTCTATTTTTCTTTCTTGATAAAAATTATGTCTAAAATTTAATAACCTTATAATGTATTTTTATAGCTCAATACTAAGATATATATTAAAACAGTCAATTAAAAAGTAAAGCTAAGTTATTTTTAGACTAAACAGATGTGAAAGAAAACTTTCCCATTGAGAAAAAATAAAATTTAAAATATTTTTTTGTGAGAAAATGTGTTTTAATTTTGTACATTTTAAAGATATTTTAAAATTTTCTAGATTAAAGAAATCATAGTATGAAATTTAAATGATAAACTTAAAACATTTACTTAGAATTCTTTTTTGAATCTATTAATTTATGACTTACTTCAAATACCGGACTTATTCCGAGGATATCGTTGAATTCACTTCCTATATACAATAAGTGATAAAATCCTGGTGGTAAAGGAACATGATCAACAAATGTAATATGATAATAAGCAGAAACACCAGTATCAACTGAACCAACAATATAGGATGGTTTTCCAGTTAATGGTGTTCTGGCTTTGCATCCACTTTCATTACAGTGTTTACTTCTTAAATACACAGAATCTGTGGCTTTGGTGCTTCCTTCTTCTTGTGAAACATACCGAACAGTTCTGTGGACTTCTTCTGTATCAGTTTTATCAGCTGATGGTGGCAGTTTGATGTCAGTAACAGGTTTAGTTGATGCCCATACATAATTAATATGCTCATCCAAACCTCTAAAATCTCGCTAAAAAAAATTGTTTTATTTAATTAAACCAATAGAATAGTTACAATAAAATAAAGCATATAATGTTAAACAAAAATAATTTACCCATAAAAAATATAAAAAATTAAATACGAGAAATTTTTAAAATAAAAATTTTAATTATTTTTCATGTTACAATTCATTATTCAGCTAATTTTGGAATTGGAGAGTCAACAACTTGTGATTTAAGCATTGAAAATACATTTTTAAATCACTATATATAAAGTAAATTAATTAAACATTAGGATGAATGAGTTTTTTGTATAAATTTGTTTGAAGTTTAGTCAAGTTTAAATCAAGACTAGAATGATTGACTGATTTAACTTCTAATATTTTTCTTCTGTTCATATACAAATTTTTTTTATTCTTTTAGTTACAAAAATTAAAAAAATATTTTTTATATGCTGGTTATTTTTGAAATTTTCAAACACTGACTTAATCACAATGGCTTTTAAATATAATTGATGACCAATTGATTAGTTAATAAGTAACTATAGATATACTGTATTATTAATAATCTTTAAAAATTTTTTTGAATGAATAAGGCGTTGTTTGGAAAACATTATAAAATAATGCATTTTCTTTACACGCTAAAAAATATTTATATTTTACTTTATTATGAAAAATTAAATATTCTATATATAAAAGTTTCTGCAAATTTTAATCTAAATTCAATAAATAATTTTTTGAATTTGAATAAATTGTGGAAAGATTGTCATACAATATTATCACAATTTTTATAAAAGTCAAAATAAAATATTCTTAAAGATTTCTAACATTGGTTTCCTTGATTAGCTATTCTTCCTTTTTTTTTTTATTTAATATTAAATTATTTTATCTTATTGACATTAAATTTAAACATTTAAAAAAATTTAAACAAATTAAATGTATTTTTATCAATTGATAGAAAATATATAATAAATACTGCAAAAACCAGACAACTATCGGACTATCTTATGTTTCCATGTCTCAGGTTTTCTGTCATTGACAGGATTTAGTCTTATCACTTTTCTATTGTTCTCTATTGCCTACACAAATGTTCTGAAAATATTTCTTTTCCCTTTTATTAGATTGGGCGAAAAAATAAGTTCTCTTTCTAATAAAACTGTCTAATATCATTTACTTAGAAATTATTTAAACAAATTTCTAAGATCATAGGTTTACCAAAAAATTTTTGGTCTTCATTATCATTGCTGTCTTCTTTAGTTTGTAAATTCATAAGTTCATAAAGATTTATATCTTCAATTTCTATGGAAAAAATACACAAGAACACAAATAAAAGCTCCAAATAACAATGCAAAAGAAAAAGAAAATTTCAATGTACTTTGAAATGCCCTCTAATGAAAAAGAATTTGTTTCCAGAAAGATGGCACTGCACCAATACAGAAATACAAACACACAATTTCTGGATTTTGTATCTATATTTCCCTGTATTTGAATTGCAATAATTCAATTTCTTCCATTCTGTCCACATCTCATGGGTTCCAGTTTTCAGAGAACATTTGTTAGATTAATTTCTAGAAGTTTTCTGCCTTATTCAGATTCTGGTTTTTACAGGTTTTACTGTATATTACAATTTAAATTCCAAAATAACAATAAAATCTTACTTTAAACAAACCAATCCAGTCCCATCCATTTGGTTCCCAATTTTCATTAAAATAATACATAGCTTCTCCATCTTGATAAGATTTCCAACTTTTGATTGGAAGAAAAGTAACTTTCTTTTCCAGTGGATCAGGAAATACCTAAAAGTATCATCAAAGTTAAATTATTAAATAAGATTTCATTCAATTCAAAAATCTAAAAAGTTTTAGAACAAGAATATAAATCAGAAATATTCACACATGGATTAATTATTATTCATCTAATGCTTATATATATAAAAAATAACTTTTTTCCATTAAAATGATTTTTGGGTTTGGCAGGCCCACAATGAGGACTGGGAGATGAATGACAGGACTTGATATATCTGGGACAAACTACTCATGAAAAATTATTCCTGGGGAGTTGATTGCTTAGATTTCATCCTGGGTTCCCAGAGTGCTAGACAGTCACCTTAACCACAAAATGATTTTTTTAATAAAAAAAAATTGAAGTTAGCATTAGTTTTTATCATTTGCCGAAAGCCTCTATTTAATCTACACAATGAAACAAATAATGTATGTAAAAATTATGAGAGAAAACAAAACAAAATAATTAAAATTAATAATCTTCTATAATAATGGACAGTTAAAAAAATACGTATAAGAAATTTATTAGCATAATAAAATAAAACAATAATTTTGGTGTGTCATGAAATAACACAGCAAAATTACAGGCTGTTTATTATTAATCTGATTTATAATTTTGCTATTGACTTTAGATGCAAGATTCAAATTTTTAATAGTATAAGTTTTAAAATTTTTATCCATCCCTTCATATTCTAAACTACTTATGTGAGATAGCAAAATTTCCTATATTAGAAATAGTCTTTAATAATAACATTTTGCGAATTACGCAACAAGTGTTGTTCTTAGCTACCTGAGAAAGTCTCCCATTACATTTTCTCGAAAGCAACATGACGCTTTCTCGTGAACTATTAACCTCTGCACGGCCTAAATCGCCCGTGAATATCACCAGAGACGGCCGAAAAGAGTCAGTTGCCGCCGTTCCTCTAGATAGAAGTCATCAGATAGCAACCGAACTTTTTTTTTTTTGGTGCCTCCTATTTGGATTATTTGCAACAGGATTTATTAAGTGCCAAAGAAACTTGAATGAACGTCGTCGCTAGAACTTTGGATTAAGTCAAGAACTTGATTATCAATTATCAGCTATTCAAGATTCAACCAAACTCCAGGTATTTATCACCCCGCGAATCGTATGTGAACTCTCTCTCTCCGCGACAACACTTTATCCAATAGATTTTTAAATAAACCATTGTTAATTGTTAAGTGTATCTGAGTCACTTCCAATGTTGTCTCTCGAACCAACATTACGAATCCGTCTGACCACGTACGGGACCGCTCACATGACTGCATGACGTAATCGCCGTCTCGGTTTCCGTGTTTCGAGAAACACAGTGGTGTCAATCCTGACAGGGTGCCAAAGAGGTGCCGACCCGAAAGGTCACACTTATCTTTGGAATGATAGAAATTAACTTATGTTTTATCTCATCATACTTGATTTTACAAGTTAAACTTTATAAATTTAGCATATTTTATTTTGAGGATGAATGGCTAAGATAGAAAATGAAATAAACATAACATTACAGATGTAACAATAGTCTTTGAAAACTGAATTTTTTTACAGAAATTGAAACATTCAAGGTAATGGAATGTTGTGCAAAAATTGTCACATCTTATAATTATGACAATAACATCAAATAAATGACAAATGACTTTTTCAAACAGTTGTCACTTACTCATCTTTGAATTTATTTTATTTTTATTTATTTAATTTATTGACAACAGCAACTAAGAATATCAATAGAATTATTAAATTACATATAAATTAAATGAAATTATGTTAATGAGATGGTCAATAGTGACAACATCACTTTTTTCATGATTTCAAATTTATTATTGCATTGATAGTTAATTAAACTACCTGAACAGAATAAATAAAAACAAGAATACATTTTTTATATTAATTAAACCATTTGATAAGATTTATCTTGTTTTGTTCTGACAAGATAAAATTTTAAAGCAACATAATAAATTCTTCATGCTGAAAGAGAAAAACTAATCCAATTTTACTATTTTAGTTGAACTGATACTATACTGTGAACAATAAAATCATTTAATCTAAGATAATTTAAAAGATAATAATTATGTTAAAATGACTAAAAAATTTTATAATGTCTGAAACATAAACAGAGATAACAGAAAAGTTGTATAAGTGTTTATGGAAATTATTTACTAAAATTTATATCAGCTAATGGACACAAAGACAGCAAAGCAGATAAATGAATATGACACAAAGACATGAAAAAATATAACAGAATTATGCCTCATAATCGAAATTTCAGAACTGATTTTAATCTGTTCATGAATTTGTTAAAAATCATCTATTCTATCACAGTTATTTCTTATCATTTATAATATTTATGTAGCGGCATAGATAGAATATATATTAGTAATCAATAAAAAAAATATAACAATCTACTTACTTTGATTAAAAAGGAACCAGAAACAGGTTTATGATCACTCTGTGAATAATGTGAATGACTTGAATAATGTAACTGCTTTACATCTAGATTAGTATGAGAATAAGCTTCACGAGTGAATCGGTATAAGATGCGATCTGTCCAAGCTGGCTTTCTTTTTCTAAATATAATCAAAACCAAAATTAGAAGTTATTTTCTAAATTTAACAATAATGATTTTAATGATCATTCAATAAAAATATCTGAAATGAATCTATGTACAGTACAGGATTTGTAACTGATTTATAATCAAATATAAATAATTCAAAATAAATAAATGACTTGCAGAATATAAAATTAGTTTTATTTATTATTTAAAGCACAATTTTTAAGTTATTATATGTTAAAATCATTTAGTAGAAGCTACAACAACACATTCTCAACAACTTTGTAATTTATTATAATATAATACTTCATTTTTATAAATAATTTTAAAAAATAATGTCTCATTGAATTTAATGGTTTCAATAAAATATAAAATTTGCATGAATGATTTTTTTAATGGTAAAAAAAATGTTTTTTTGATTAATTGCTGAAGATGTTCATCTTTATCAGTGCCCTGAACTACATAGTAAATCATTGGAAAAAGAAAAATAGTAATTATCAGATGATTTAAATAAAATAAAACAAATATTAAAAAGGTTAGTAGTTTTAGTAAAATATTTACTTTTTAATCTTATTTAATTAAGTAATCTTTAAAAATATTAATAGTTTTAAAGATATTTTAAATATAGTTTTGCAATACAGTTTTGTAAATACTTCCTTTGATTTAAAAATAATTCATCATTATTTTCAATTTTCAAAATGTTTAAGAATGATTAAATTTAACTGGCTTTCAAAGCATGAATTGCAGTTTGAAATTCTTTCCTTTACGTCAGTGATAGTGCATATGTTACAAAATACTTTCATTAATGAAATAACGAATAAATACAGAAATAAATTTATAATGGTAAACTGACTAAAGACCTAAAAGGTAAAACATTGATGTACATTATTTTTAAATTAATTTGAGAAAATAATATGGGTATATACTATATCTAAATAATCTCTTTATTTATATACACATTATTTGATAATTAAGATCATTACAGTATTTGAGAATTAAAATGCTTATGTTTCTTTAAAACAATTAAGAATTTTTAAAAAATTCTGTACAAAGATTTTTAACTTGATTTTAATCTATAGTGACTAACAAAAACTTTTTACAAGATGCTTTAAGGAAACTGTATAGATGTAAATATGAATATCCTGTGAAGCAACTGCATTGCTTTTCTAGAAGCCTGCAAATATACCTTGTTTTGTGAAACCAAACTTTAATTTTATCAGATATTTACTTGTATAAACATTGAACAAAGTACCTATCTTTTCATTGTTTATTCAATATTAGATTTTTTGACATTTCTCAAAAATATTTAAAAATAGTTTATTTCTAAAGTGAAAAAATCTAAATTTTGATTTCTAATGTTTCAAATTGCAAATTTACAGATGTTGCTTTCAGTTAAAGATTTAAAATACTTAATAAAATGTTCAACACATTATAACTATTTATTATACATGTTTTTAGACCACCTTTGATAATCCTATTTGAGTTGAATAAATTGTATATTGAAAATAAAATATTGTCAATTACATTTTAATACAATTATCAATAAAAACTTTAAACTGAACAGCAGAAGATTTAGATAAAATATTGTACAAATAAAATTTGGATATATTAAGAATTTAAAATATACATAAGAAAATCAAATTTATCAAAAGATTTAGTTAAAAAGATTGAGAAAACTTTCTAATGTAACTAGTATATTAGTTTAAATGTATATATAAGCACAGTTTTTTTTTTCAACCACCAATGGTCCATAAAACAAAGACAAGTGTAAATAACAAAATGAATTTATTACAAAAAGTTTGATACAAACATGACATAATCACCATGAAGATTGAGGCATTTGTCTATCTATGAACGAGCTTTGAAATCCCCTCTTCATAGAATGTTGCTGCCAGTGACTTGAGATGGACCTTAACGTTGTTTTGAAAATCATCATTAGTCTCAAACCTCTGCTCTCCTAACAATGTTTTTAGTTCAGGAAAGAGATGGAAGTTGCTCGGTGCTAAATTGAGGCTGTACTCTGGGTATTTAAAAAGATCCAAGCTAGGGGGAAGTCTGACAGGTGAAAGTCTTCATATATTTAATGTGTGAAGACTTCCACCTCTTTCCTGAACTGAAAACTTGGCACTTGGCTAGCAGGGCAGAAATTTGAGACTAATGACAATCTTCAAAACAATGTTAAACCCTATCTCAATCACTGGCAGAAACATTCTATGAAGAGGGGATTGCAAAGCTCGTTCATAGATAGACAAATGCCTCAATCTTTCACAGTGATTATGTCGAAAAGTAACCATGTTTGTATCTAACTTTTGGTAATAAATTCATTTTGTTATTTACACTTGTCTTTGTTTTATGGTCCATCGGAGATTGGAAAAAAACCACCTACATATAAGGGGCATAGACAGCCTTTTCGCATTGTCTGGCTTGGCGATAAATGACCAGAGGGGTTGAATCTTAGTAAAGAAAAAGTTTCAACTAAATTATTCTGAAGTAAAGATTGTTTCTTGCTTTTTAAATGAACAAACTAAAATAATAAATAAAGGAGGAAAACTATTAATACAGATTTATATATATTAAATCAGTATTAATATGGCTAGTTTCATAAAAAGATGATTTAGCAAAGACTTAAAAAATTTTTTTAAAATCAATTTAAAAGTATTTGGAATGGAAGCAAAAGAATTCAATAAAATGAAATTATGTGAATCACTTTTAACCGAAAAGCATAAAAAGAACTGTATAATAATAGTTGAACTAAACTGATCAAATGAACCTGATATGATATCACGATTGAAAATACATTATTTTTAAGTTCAAAATTAAGTTTATCATTATTTTATTATTAAAAAATTCTTGTTAAAAATGTAGCTCTAAGTATTTTTCCATGATCGTTTACATATAAGATATTTAATTAATGATATTTATTTATGCTTTTTAATTAAAATGATATAATGAAATATTAAATATTAGTATTATAATTTCATTTCTTCATACTCATAAAAATTTGTGAGTCATGTTATAATAATGACAATAATGTTGATTTTATTCAAAAATTTCTTAACATATTAGTTAAAAATCTTAGATTAATTAAATCAATCCTATTATTGTATCCTACGTATACTTATTTACATATTAATAAGAATTTAAATATTTTAAACATACTCAGAATCATAATCACTTCCATCTACGACAAACTTGTAAGTAGGAGGGAAGTCTGGTGTTACCTCTTTAAATTCGCTAAAAGCTTCCCCTCTTTTCTGTACTAAAGTAAGCTTTGAAATAATATTTATGATAAATTAAAATAATATTTAAATATTTTAAATAAACTTTTGATAAATTATTTTAAATATTATTACCTGATCTTTAGTTAATAAAGGAGGAAAACTATTAATACTGATTAAATATAGCACTTCGTCTGTAGTGAGTTCATCTATACGGAAATTAAGATCACCAATCCAAAAAACGTAACTATAATTAAAAAATAAATTATTCATATTAATATATTAAAATGTGAAGTATGATTTCTTTAGTTGTTAATAATATTTATGGTTGCAAGTCTTCCTAACGTTATTAACATTTAATTGATAATTACAATAATATACTACGTGATTGTAATTAAAGTAACTTTATTTAATGTTATCTAGAGAGGTTTAGCAGTCCAAATGCAACCAAATTTGGTATTGTGGCATTTTGGAATATGTAGAAGACATTTTTGTATAATAAAAAGGACCAAAACTCACCCTTATAGAACTTCAAATCTTAATCCATGTGATTTTTAATTGTAGGGACACTTAAAAGTGAAGTTTATTGATGACATGTTGCAAATTTGGCAGTGTCAGACTGCATGTGAGAAGCACCAGAGGATCAACTATGATTGACTAATAAACACTGTTCATCATCTTCAGGTTTTACACCTTCAGGAGAACATATAGAAAATCCCTTGCATTGCTAAGGTGACATATAGCGTGAATGTCTTATATAAATCAAAACTTTATTGTTTGCAGTGCTAAAAGTGCCTTATTGGTAAATTTTGGTACTAATTGTTTTAATAGAAATGGCTTTTGAATATTCTGAAATGTCATCATTCTAGATGGTTGCAATTAGACTAATAACTATTTCTCTAGACATCACTGAATAATTTATCACCACCCAGTAAATGAAAATAAAATTAATTTTCTTTATTATGTTAAATTATAATTTACTTCAAACTATAACATCTCAACATCATAAATTTACTTTAACAGAATTTAAAATTCACTAAATATTTTGATATAAAACTTTATTGCGTTATTTCCTTCTATAAAATGAAAATGAATTAAGATACTGTAACAATTAATAATTTGAACTTACTCATGAGTTAAGATATTTTCTGTTTGAGGATCAACAAATCTTTGTTTATCTATAATATTATTATAGTCCTGAAAACAATAATAATGTAATAACAAAATAGATATTGTAAAGTTCACATAAATTTATAAGTATTGTAATAAACGTTTNTTAAACATTTAAAAAAATTTAAACAAATTAAATGTATTTTTATCAATTGATAGAAAATATATAATAAATACTGCAAAAACCAGACAACTATCGGACTATCTTATGTTTCCATGTCTCAGGTTTTCTGTCATTGACAGGATTTAGTCTTATCACTTTTCTATTGTTCTCTATTGCCTACACAAATGTTCTGAAAATATTTCTTTTCCCTTTTATTAGATTGGGTGAAAAAATAAGTTCTCTTTCTAATAAAACTGTCTAATATCATTTACTTAGAAATTATTGAAACAAATTTCTAAGACCATAGGTTTACCAAAAAATTTTTGGTCTTCATTATCATTGTTGTCTTCTTTAGTTTGCAAATTCATAAGTTCATAAAGATTTATATCTTCAATTTCTATGGAAAAAATACACAAGAACACAAATAAAAGCTCCAAATAACAATGCAAAAGAAAAAGAAAATTTCAATGTACTTTGAAATGCCCTCTAATGAAAAAGAATTTGTTTCCAGAAAGATGGCACTGCACCAATACAGAAATACAAACACACAATTTCTGGATTTCGTATCTATATATCCCTGTATTTGAATTGCAATAATTCAATTTCTTCCATTCTGTCCACATCTCATGGGTTCCAGTTTTCAGAGAACATTTGTTAGATTAATTTCTAGAAGTTTTCTGCCTTATTCAGATTCTGGTTTTTACAGGTTTTACTGTATATTACAATTTAAATTCCAAAATAACAATAAAATCTTACTTTAAACAAACCAATCCAGTCCCATCCATTTGGTTCCCAATTTTCATTAAAATAATACGTAGCTTCTCCATCTTGATAAGATTTCCAACTTTTGATTGGAAGAAAAGTAACTTTCTTTTCCAGTGGATCAGGAAATACCTAAAATTATCATCAAAGTTAAATTATTAAATAAGATTTCATTCAATTCAAAAATCTAAAAAGTTTTAGAACAAGAATATAAATCAGAAATATTCACACATGGATTAATTATTATTCATCTAATGCTTATATATATAAAAAATAACTTTTTTTTCCATTAAAATGATTTTTGAGTTTGGCCAGGCCCACAATGGGGACTGGGAGATGAATGACAGGACTTGATATATCTGGGACAAACTACTCATGAAAAATTATTCCTGGGGAATTGATTGCTTAGATTTCATCCTGGGTTCCCAGAGTGCTAGACAGTCACCTTAACCACAAAATGATTTTTTTAATAAAAAAAAATTAAAGTTAGCATTAGTTTTTATCATTTGCCGAAAGCCTCTATTTAATCTACACAATGAAACAAATAATGTATGTAAAAATTATGAGAGAAAACAAAACAAAATAATTAAAATTAATAATCTTCTATAATAATGGACAGTTAAAAAAATACGTATAAGAAATTTATTAGCATAATAAAATAAAACAATAATTTTGGTGTGTCATGAAATAACACAGCAAAATTACAGGCTGTTTATTATTAATCTGATTTATAATTTTGCTATTGACTTTAGATGCAAGATTCAAATTTTTAATAGTATAAGTTTTAAAATTTTTATCCATCCCTTCATATTCTAAACTACTTATGTGAGATAGCAAAATTTCCTATATTAGAAATAGTCTTTAATAATAACATTTTGCGAATTACGCAACAAGTGTTGTTCTTAGCTACCTGAGAAAGTCTCCCATTACATTTTCTCGAAAGCAACATGACGCTTTCTCGTGAACTATTAACCTCTGCACGGCCTAAATCGCCCGTGAATATCACCAGAGACGGCCGAAAAGAGTCAGTTGCCGCCGTTCCTCTAGATAGAAGTCATCAGATAGCAACCGAACTTTTTTTTTTTTGGTGCCTCCTATTTGGATTATTTGCAACAGGATTTATTAAGTGCCAAAGAAACTTGAATGAACGTCGTCGCTAGAACTTTGGATTAAGTCAAGAACTTGATTATCAATTATCAGCTATTCAAGATTCAACCAAACTCCAGGTATTTATCACCCCGCGAATCGTATGTGAACTCTCTCTCTCCGCGACAACACTTTATCCAATAGATTTTTAAATAAACCATTGTTAATTGTTAAGTGTATCTGAGTCACTTCCAATGTTGTCTCTCGAACCAACATTACGAATCCGTCTGACCACGTACGGGACCGCTCACATGACTGCATGACGTAATCGCCGTCTCGGTTTCCGTGTTTCGAGAAACACAGTGGTGTCAATCCTGACAGGGTGCCAAAGAGGTGCCGACCCGAAAGGTCACACTTATCTTTGGAATGATAGAAATTAACTTATGTTTTATCTCATCATACTTGATTTTACAAGTTAAACTTTATAAATTTAGCATATTTTATTTTGAGGATGAATGGCTAAGATAGAAAATGAAATAAACATAACATTACAGATGTAACAATAGTCTTTGAAAACTGAATTTTTTTACAGAAATTGAAACATTCAAGGTAATGGAATGTTGTGCAAAAATTGTCACATCTTATAATTATGACAATAACATCAAATAAATGACAAATGACTTTTTCAAACAGTTGTCACTTACTCATCTTTGAATTTATTTTATTTTTATTTATTTAATTTATTGACAACAGCAACTAAGAATATCAATAGAATTATTAAATTACATATAAATTAAATGAAATTATGTTAATGAGATGGTCAATAGTGACAACATCACTTTTTTCATGATTTCAAATTTATTATTGCATTGATAGTTAATTAAACTACCTGAACAGAATAAATAAAAACAAGAATACATTTTTTATATTAATTAAACCATTTGATAAGATTTATCTTGTTTTGTTCTGACAAGATAAAATTTTAAAGCAACATAATAAATTCTTCATGCTGAAAGAGAAAAACTAATCCAATTTTACTATTTTAGTTGAACTGATACTATACTGTGAACAATAAAATCATTTAATCTAAGATAATTTAAAAGATAATAATTATGTTAAAATGACTAAAAAATTTTATAATGTCTGAAACATAAACAGAGATAACAGAAAAGTTGTATAAGTGTTTATGGAAATTATTTACTAAAATTTATATCAGCTAATGGACACAAAGACAGCAAAGCAGATAAATGAATATGACACAAAGACATGAAAAAATATAACAGAATTATGCCTCATAATCGAAATTTCAGAACTGATTTTAATCTGTTCATGAATTTGTTAAAAATCATCTATTCTATCACAGTTATTTCTTATCATTTATAATATTTATGTAGCGGCATAGATAGAATATATATTAGTAATCAATAAAAAAAATATAACAATCTACTTACTTTGATTAAAAAGGAACCAGAAACAGGTTTATGATCACTCTGTGAATAATGTGAATGACTTGAATAATGTAACTGCTTTACATCTAGATTAGTATGAGAATAAGCTTCACGAGTGAATCGGTATAAGATGCGATCTGTCCAAGCTGGCTTTCTTTTTCTAAATATAATCAAAACCAAAATTAGAAGTTATTTTCTAAATTTAACAATAATGATTTTAATGATCATTCAATAAAAATATCTGAAATGAATCTATGTACAGTACAGGATTTGTAACTGATTTATAATCAAATATAAATAATTCAAAATAAATAAATGACTTGCAGAATATAAAATTAGTTTTATTTATTATTTAAAGCACAATTTTTAAGTTATTATATGTTAAAATCATTTAGTAGAAGCTACAACAACACATTCTCAACAACTTTGTAATTTATTATAATATAATACTTCATTTTTATAAATAATTTTAAAAAATAATGTCTCATTGAATTTAATGGTTTCAATAAAATATAAAATTTGCATGAATGATTTTTTTAATGGTAAAAAAAATGTTTTTTTGATTAATTGCTGAAGATGTTCATCTTTATCAGTGCCCTGAACTACATAGTAAATCATTGGAAAAAGAAAAATAGTAATTATCAGATGATTTAAATAAAATAAAACAAATATTAAAAAGGTTAGTAGTTTTAGTAAAATATTTACTTTTTAATCTTATTTAATTAAGTAATCTTTAAAAATATTAATAGTTTTAAAGATATTTTAAATATAGTTTTGCAATACAGTTTTGTAAATACTTCCTTTGATTTAAAAATAATTCATCATTATTTTCAATTTTCAAAATGTTTAAGAATGATTAAATTTAACTGGCTTTCAAAGCATGAATTGCAGTTTGAAATTCTTTCCTTTACGTCAGTGATAGTGCATATGTTACAAAATACTTTCATTAATGAAATAACGAATAAATACAGAAATAAATTTATAATGGTAAACTGACTAAAGACCTAAAAGGTAAAACATTGATGTACATTATTTTTAAATTAATTTGAGAAAATAATATGGGTATATACTATATCTAAATAATCTCTTTATTTATATACACATTATTTGATAATTAAGATCATTACAGTATTTGAGAATTAAAATGCTTATGTTTCTTTAAAACAATTAAGAATTTTTAAAAAATTCTGTACAAAGATTTTTAACTTGATTTTAATCTATAGTGACTAACAAAAACTTTTTACAAGATGCTTTAAGGAAACTGTATAGATGTAAATATGAATATCCTGTGAAGCAACTGCATTGCTTTTCTAGAAGCCTGCAAATATACCTTGTTTTGTGAAACCAAACTTTAATTTTATCAGATATTTACTTGTATAAACATTGAACAAAGTACCTATCTTTTCATTGTTTATTCAATATTAGATTTTTTGACATTTCTCAAAAATATTTAAAAATAGTTTATTTCTAAAGTGAAAAAATCTAAATTTTGATTTCTAATGTTTCAAATTGCAAATTTACAGATGTTGCTTTCAGTTAAAGATTTAAAATACTTAATAAAATGTTCAACACATTATAACTATTTATTATACATGTTTTTAGACCACCTTTGATAATCCTATTTGAGTTGAATAAATTGTATATTGAAAATAAAATATTGTCAATTACATTTTAATACAATTATCAATAAAAACTTTAAACTGAACAGCAGAAGATTTAGATAAAATATTGTACAAATAAAATTTGGATATATTAAGAATTTAAAATATACATAAGAAAATCAAATTTATCAAAAGATTTAGTTAAAAAGATTGAGAAAACTTTCTAATGTAACTAGTATATTAGTTTAAATGTATATATAAGCACAGTTTTTTTTTTCAACCACCAATGGTCCATAAAACAAAGACAAGTGTAAATAACAAAATGAATTTATTACAAAAAGTTTGATACAAACATGACATAATCACCATGAAGATTGAGGCATTTGTCTATCTATGAACGAGCTTTGAAATCCCCTCTTCATAGAATGTTGCTGCCAGTGACTTGAGATGGACCTTAACGTTGTTTTGAAAATCATCATTAGTCTCAAACCTCTGCTCTCCTAACAATGTTTTTAGTTCAGGAAAGAGATGGAAGTTGCTCGGTGCTAAATTGAGGCTGTACTCTGGGTATTTAAAAAGATCCAAGCTAGGGGGAAGTCTGACAGGTGAAAGTCTTCATATATTTAATGTGTGAAGACTTCCACCTCTTTCCTGAACTGAAAACTTGGCACTTGGCTAGCAGGGCAGAAATTTGAGACTAATGACAATCTTCAAAACAATGTTAAACCCTATCTCAATCACTGGCAGAAACATTCTATGAAGAGGGGATTGCAAAGCTCGTTCATAGATAGACAAATGCCTCAATCTTTCACAGTGATTATGTCGAAAAGTAACCATGTTTGTATCTAACTTTTGGTAATAAATTCATTTTGTTATTTACACTTGTCTTTGTTTTATGGTCCATCGGAGATTGGAAAAAAACCACCTACATATAAGGGGCATAGACAGCCTTTTCGCATTGTCTGGCTTGGCGATAAATGACCAGAGGGGTTGAATCTTAGTAAAGAAAAAGTTTCAACTAAATTATTCTGAAGTAAAGATTGTTTCTTGCTTTTTAAATGAACAAACTAAAATAATAAATAAAGGAGGAAAACTATTAATACAGATTTATATATATTAAATCAGTATTAATATGGCTAGTTTCATAAAAAGATGATTTAGCAAAGACTTAAAAAATTTTTTTAAAATCAATTTAAAAGTATTTGGAATGGAAGCAAAAGAATTCAATAAAATGAAATTATGTGAATCACTTTTAACCGAAAAGCATAAAAAGAACTGTATAATAATAGTTGAACTAAACTGATCAAATGAACCTGATATGATATCACGATTGAAAATACATTATTTTTAAGTTCAAAATTAAGTTTATCATTATTTTATTATTAAAAAATTCTTGTTAAAAATGTAGCTCTAAGTATTTTTCCATGATCGTTTACATATAAGATATTTAATTAATGATATTTATTTATGCTTTTTAATTAAAATGATATAATGAAATATTAAATATTAGTATTATAATTTCATTTCTTCATACTCATAAAAATTTGTGAGTCATGTTATAATAATGACAATAATGTTGATTTTATTCAAAAATTTCTTAACATATTAGTTAAAAATCTTAGATTAATTAAATCAATCCTATTATTGTATCCTACGTATACTTATTTACATATTAATAAGAATTTAAATATTTTAAACATACTCAGAATCATAATCACTTCCATCTACGACAAACTTGTAAGTAGGAGGGAAGTCTGGTGTTACCTCTTTAAATTCGCTAAAAGCTTCCCCTCTTTTCTGTACTAAAGTAAGCTTTGAAATAATATTTATGATAAATTAAAATAATATTTAAATATTTTAAATAAACTTTTGATAAATTATTTTAAATATTATTACCTGATCTTTAGTTAATAAAGGAGGAAAACTATTAATACTGATTAAATATAGCACTTCGTCTGTAGTGAGTTCATCTATACGGAAATTAAGATCACCAATCCAAAAAACGTAACTATAATTAAAAAATAAATTATTCATATTAATATATTAAAATGTGAAGTATGATTTCTTTAGTTGTTAATAATATTTATGGTTGCAAGTCTTCCTAACGTTATTAACATTTAATTGATAATTACAATAATATACTACGTGATTGTAATTAAAGTAACTTTATTTAATGTTATCTAGAGAGGTTTAGCAGTCCAAATGCAACCAAATTTGGTATTGTGGCATTTTGGAATATGTAGAAGACATTTTTGTATAATAAAAAGGACCAAAACTCACCCTTATAGAACTTCAAATCTTAATCCATGTGATTTTTAATTGTAGGGACACTTAAAAGTGAAGTTTATTGATGACATGTTGCAAATTTGGCAGTGTCAGACTGCATGTGAGAAGCACCAGAGGATCAACTATGATTGACTAATAAACACTGTTCATCATCTTCAGGTTTTACACCTTCAGGAGAACATATAGAAAATCCCTTGCATTGCTAAGGTGACATATAGCGTGAATGTCTTATATAAATCAAAACTTTATTGTTTGCAGTGCTAAAAGTGCCTTATTGGTAAATTTTGGTACTAATTGTTTTAATAGAAATGGCTTTTGAATATTCTGAAATGTCATCATTCTAGATGGTTGCAATTAGACTAATAACTATTTCTCTAGACATCACTGAATAATTTATCACCACCCAGTAAATGAAAATAAAATTAATTTTCTTTATTATGTTAAATTATAATTTACTTCAAACTATAACATCTCAACATCATAAATTTACTTTAACAGAATTTAAAATTCACTAAATATTTTGATATAAAACTTTATTGCGTTATTTCCTTCTATAAAATGAAAATGAATTAAGATACTGTAACAATTAATAATTTGAACTTACTCATGAGTTAAGATATTTTCTGTTTGAGGATCAACAAATCTTTGTTTATCTATAATATTATTATAGTCCTGAAAACAATAATAATGTAATAACAAAATAGATATTGTAAAGTTCACATAAATTTATAAGTATTGTAATAAACATTTTAAATATTTAATATTCAATAAATTTTCTGAGAGACTGAATATTAAATACTTTTTATCTTATTTTAAAGTAAAAACTATAATATTTTTTACTTGGTAATAAATAATAATATTTTAGCAGAATAAACTATTATAAAAATTGAATTTTCACATTAAAAAAAGTTTGTAAAAATTAAAACAGTTTTCCAGGTTAAAATAAATTAGACATTTGTGAAAAAATAATAAAATAAAAAAACAAATTACAGTATTCATTAAAATGATAATTTGATATATAAATTGTAAATATAAAAACAAATATCAATTTTTAATTAATAATGCATTTGCTAATAATTAGTAAAATAATAAAAGCATGAAAAATATATACTGTATTAAGTTGAGAAATCCAATTATGATTAACAACTTACTGATATTCTCCTACACACTTCATCGTCACTAGCTGCCAGATGTGCATTCACAATGCATACTGAACAGCCATAAGCATTAAACCGAATGCTTATACCTCCTTTATTACCCTACATAAATATGTTTTAGTGAATTATAATGTTGACTCAGCATATAATTGAAAAATACTTTAAATGAAATATTTAAGAAAATTAACATTTGATATTAGGAAAAATATATTTAAAAAGAAGAAATCATATTAAGTAGTTACGTAAGATCATTTACAACTTCATAAAATCTTAAAAATTAATAATCTATTAGGCAGTATAATTCATTTATTTATATTGTTTATTTTTTAGTATATTATTTAACAGAAATAATAATTTTTTATTAATATACGACTCCAATATTTATATCATCATCTAACATTAATGCTGAATATATTTTTCCAATTGTTTTAATATTTAAAAAAAAAAATGATTATTTCAATTTCTATATACCAATTTATATATACTCTAAATTTGTAAATGTGTATAATGAAGAAAAAATGAAATATTATGTACTGTACACTTTTTTATAAACTTTATAGATAGCTGATTAAAGTCACACTAACAATTCTTAAATTAATAATGATAAAGAAGTTGAAAAGAACTAGTATTTAATGAGAATAATCAAAAAATAACAGAAAAAGAGAATAAAAGAATAATAGAAAAAGAAAGGCAAGCAGCAACATAATTTTATAAAAAAAAATAAGTACAAACCAAGTTAAGCACTGGACTGCAAATGTTATTTGTTTGTTTAATATTCAAATTATTATTGTATTAATGCTTAGTAAAAACCAAAAATTAAAACAAATTAAAAACATAATATGTTTTTAATTTGTCTTTAATATTTATACTCTTACTCTTACTATATTTTGAATGTTATTTGTAGAATATATTTACATAAATATGTGTGTGTACAAAATTGTAATGCTTATGTGTGTTTATCAATATCTATCTATTAGAAATATGTCAATACTTGATATTAGTATTACCAAGACTTATAGAAAATACAAGATAACAGTATCACCAGTACTTAAACAATATCAGTAGATATTTCAATGATGAAAAAATCCTAAAATACTGCATATTACAAAAAACACAGAAAATAACAGTTTAATACAACAATAACTAAAAATACATGAGATAAAAGTTAGTTATCAAAGTTCAAAAATTTAAGATTGTAATGAAAAAACATTAATTTTTCAGCATTTCAGAGAAACAACATATTTCTTGTGGTTTCTTATATATGTCCTCTTGCACTGAACAGATGTTCACTATCCATAGATGAATAGGGACAAGAGAGTATCCCACTGTCTTGCAGAGTTGGGAATTTTTCCTTATTATCTAACCATCATTTGAATGAGTTGGCTTATGTCTTGGAACAAGCAGATATTGTTCCAAATCCTTATTGACTCTAGCAGTAAAAAATTAATGTATTATAACAGTCTGTCTGATTTTGCTGATATTTACTAATTTTATACAAGATTCATACAAGTTATTTATTCACATTTCTTTGTTTTACTGAAGTTAACATTGTTTAATATTTAGCACTAAAAACACATTCTTTTATTTTAATACTTTGAGATTTTAATATTTGTTGTTATTGTTATTTTTCTTTCCCAAACTTTCCATAAATAATTTTTCTTGGCAGTTTCGACTTGACAGATGAACCTGCTGCTGCATCAGATTCAGAATTTGATTTTGAAGTGGCACAATGCTCTTGCAGCTTTAACAACATAACTTAAAATATTCCCTTTTATATAATAATTTGATTCCCTTTTTACTTCATCTTCAATGAACAAAGGTTGAAATCATAGATCAAGTAACGTGGAGATCTGCAGAACATCTTCATGTAACACATCTCAAATCACTTTCCACTGATGCTTTTAGATTTGACACTAAAGTTTGAACACCAGTCATTAGTGCTGCCTATCATTGTAAGAACTGTATCAGTGCTGATATTGCAGAAATAATCAATGCTGCAATGGCACCTCTTGCACCAAGTTTGAGAATATGTTGTCTAAATGGCCTTAACACATTCAGAACATTAGAAGCTAGATACTAGTAACTGATCAAGTACTTAATGTTATTTTCATCACAATGAAATGAAGTTGTTTGATTAATTGATCCAGCATATCGAAATATAGAGCTCTATAGAGTTGTAATGTCTTGAATAAGATAATGCACCAACACCTCCATTGTTGAATTTTCCTCAATTTTTCTGTTGTTTTACTTAAATAGGGAAATGTGTTTGAATATTTTTTCCCACAGCAATTAGATCTTTTACAGACCTTGGGAAAAAATAGTATCATAGATTAAAAATCTACAATTATGCATTACACACCCTGTATTTCCATATTCAAGTTATTCATTGCAGGTATCATATTAGTAGTGTTGTCTTTGAAAAAGATGAAAAAAACATCTTTTTGTCCATCTTCCACTTATTTATTGATTCCAGAATTGCATCACAAATATTTTTCAACATGTGAGTTTTAAGGAAGTGAACAGCATTTAGTAATGGCATTTTATATTTGAACTATGAAATCACCTAATATACAATTAAACTTAGAAAAGAGAGGCCTGTGTGATTAAAGTCCGAATATCTGTGGGAATTTAAATGCTATTTCATTCTGGAGAAAGTCTCTTATTTTCTTCATGATTTTGTCAAATCCATGGTATAAAACACTAAGATGGCACATACTTCTCATTCCGAGAAGTATGTGCCATCTTAGTGTTTTATACCATGGATTTGATTCTTGAAGAACTCTTATAAATCCCTTATCTTCTACAATAGAACAGGATTGTATTAAAGGAAAGTTCTATAATCAAGACATATCATCTTGTCAACTTTGAGGGAAAGTCTTTGTGATTGAAAATCATTGATGTCCCAAATTTTTTCCTTTCAAAGAATGAAATATTGACATGTGATTCAGTTTCTTTACCTTGAAAAGATTTTGGTGAAGTATTATAGGTACACCACTCCAAAAATGGATGTTCTGTCACCAATTGACAAGCAGTTTTTAAGTGTTTATGGAAAATTGCCATAACATAAGCATATTCATTCATTAATTTGTCATTGCACCTTGAGAAAATTTCTTCCCTCATTCTAAGCATTTTGCAAAAAACACTTGTCAAAGAAAGAAATCTTCAAAATATTCCCAAATTTTACTATATTTTTTTCATATTGACATCTTCCTATTATAGTAAAAAGTATCTTTCATTTAGCTTCTTGTTTGGACTAAAATGTTATTTCAGCAATCTAACAATGATGTTTTGCCAAACTTATCATGGCAACTTCTGTATATTATAACACTCTTCTTTTATTCTTTTTAATTATCTTTAAACAATGCTACTTCCTATAAAAATGGAAATAATATGGTGCCAAACCATCTAGGCTAGTCAACTACAAAAAAGCAATTACCAGTTATTAAACTACCTATGTTATTAACATGTATATCGTATCAGTATTGGTGATACTGAAAAATGGCATATCATCATATCCCATTTATATATTTATATCTATATGAAATGATAACATTAAATTTCTTGTTTAAATATTTTATTAAAAAGGAAAGTTCTATGCTCAGATTTTAAGATATAATACTTACCCACATTCCACCAAAACCTGTACGAGTATAATCAGTTTGTACCCCACGTAAGTGTGTTACATGTTCTTTTTTACAAAACAACATTAACATAATGCCTTGCAATCGCATCTGCTTTATCTGAAAACAAAATTAATAAATTATTTTATACATAAAGCATATTATAATTCTATTTCACAAATAAAATACCTTAATATATTCATAATCAGCTAATATCTCTCTAAAGCTGTAAAGCCAAGGATCATCAAAAATGGCATCTATTAATAGATCTTGTGGCTTTACACTAACTTCTTGTAACCTGAAGAAATGAAGAATAATAATAAATTTAACTTATTGAAAATAATAGTTCATCATAGTTTCAAATGTATTTATTATATTTAAATTAATTAGAATACAACACAAATATGTAAAATTAATTAACATATTAGTTTTACATCAATTTCTATGTACAGTGGAACTTCTATATTCATCATTAATCTGTTCCTACAGATCTAATGAATATGGAAAATGACGAATATAGAAACAATTTTTCTCATAATAAATAACTGATATTCAATTTACCCATTCCCATCCTAAAAATAAATACAAAAATAAAAAATTTGTTGTTTGTAAAACTTTATCTTTATTGTACTAAATAATTACAGTATAATGGTAGAGGGGGAAGAAGAGTAATATTATTATTGTTTAGAAGACATACTATCAATTAAAACATTATGTAATTCCGATTATGATCTCGGCATATTAAATTCTTTGGCTAAGTAGGAAACACTAGAGAGGTTGCAGCCAAAGTTTTCATCTCTAAAATATAAACGACGAATGTTGAGTGTCATCTTATAAGCCTAGAAGTTTGATAATGGCATTTGGAATGTTGAGCATTATTCCAATGATGTTCCAAATGCCATTGTCAAACTTCTAGGCTTACAAGATGGCTGCGCGCAACGTTCGACATTCATGTTTCGACAAAGAGATGAAAACTTTGACCACAACCTCTCTACTTTGTCCATTTTCAGACTTAGAAATAATTTTTTTTATCTCTATTGTTGTTCTAATAGCTTTCCTTTTTTGCTGTTTTTCTTCAGTGTGCTTTGTTGGAGCCATTGAAACTTAAAATAATCAATGTGACAAACCAATAACACACGCCACAACCACACCATGCAGACTGATAAACTACAGCTAGCTGACATAGCGTTGCCAACTCAAAATTCAAATTTATAGCTAGATATTTTAATAAAAATATTCAAATCATATTGTTTCCATTAAAATTGTTTGATTTTTTGTAGCTAGATAGCATTATACAAATAGGTAGGCCATTATAATTTACATAGCTAGATTGTTCATAAATCCATTAAATCTAGCAAAAAATTAGCTAAATTGGCTACACTAAGCTAACACGGCTAGCTGATCTGCACAGGCATGCAATTGTAGCACCACTTTTGGTGTTGGGAATGACAACAAATATAGAAAATACTAATAATAAACAACGCTTTTTGCCCGCGACTGAAAATTAGACAGAATTAGATAACCCAACAAATAGGATATAACATTTTTTGGTGTGATAAGCCCTGCAAAAAATGTTATACCCTATTTGTTGGGTTATCTAATTCTGTCTAATAGAAAATACTGATGAATATGGGGAAAGTCATCAAAATGTGACGAATATAGAATATTACAAATATAGTGGTTCCACTGTATATTGATAAATTTTAAAGTCTATAGTCATCTGCATGTTAGAAATGATCATAATAGCCTTAAATTAAAAAATATAATATCCAATTTGTTAATTGCATTTATATATAAATGATGAATTTTTGTAAATTTCAACTGTTTTGTGGAAATTTACTGTAGTTTTTATTCTTTGATTTATCAATTGAAGTGCCATAGAACAAAAGGCAGAAGACTAATAATGGATAGTTCTTCCTTTTGTCCTAATAACCAACTATACAAAATAGTATAGAGTTTAGGTGTTGGAACTGTTTGTGGTAAGTCATCCAGAATGGCAGTCTGTAATTCTATTTTGTTGGTTGGACATGACACCAAATCAATAGGGGTTGTCTACATAGGCATTGAATTTGGTTCAAATATGATCAGTGTGAGGACCAGGTAAGCATTACAAAGACATTGGAATGTTTCTCAAACCATATGTCTGATATGGAAAAGCATTGTCCTGCCGAAACAACCCATATCCATCAGGAAATAAGTTTAGAGGAATGGCGATGGTCAGCAATAATGTTCCTGTAACAGGAATCTATCAAGACAGACTTCAGTAGTGGTCCAAGTGAGCTCCAATAAAACCAATCTCACACCATACCAGACTTACCACAAGCTTGTACAACTCCTTACTGGAATTAAAGGTCCATGGTTTTGTGTGGTCTGCTCCACACACACTGACTATCCACTCAAAACAGCTGAAAATGAGATTCATCTAACAATATGACACATTGTCAAACATCTCCAAATAATATTGATACTGGATTGTAGAGGGAAGATGTGTTTCGCAATGTCTGGGAGTAAGCAATGATACATGTGTGCATCAGCAACTATAGAACCCCGTGGAATGGAATGTCTACTGGTTGATAGATCAATAAATATGCAATGAAATTGATTAGTAATTTCCCTCAATATTGTACATGATTTGAACACCATTCCTGATCAATGATCACCAGTCTATATTCAGAGTGAAGACATCTGGCTCCCAGTCTGTCCAAAATTCTGATATTCCTAACAGACTCTTGAAATTGTTGTTTAGAAATATTCAAAAGAATTGGTGCTCAAAAATGGAGAGTACCATTTTTCTTGTGCTACAATCTGTCCTTGATCAAAAGGTGATAAATCTCATCTATATGGTATTGCTATACTTGCTGGTTTACTTTGCAATGGTTAAGCCTGTAATACATTAAAATCAAATGCACAATTTTGATTAATATCAAGCTGTTTTGTTTTCCTGCAAGAGGAAAGCAAGAAATTTAGTGTTTTGCTGTCTCATTTTTTGATATTTTTAGTTTATATTGTATAGATATGCAAAACAGGTTTTTAAAATATTCTTTTAAATTAAACAAATTAGTAATTTGTGTAAGACATATTTCTTTTTAAAAACTTTTACCGATCACATATAATAATAAAAAATTAATTTGACATATTATCAAAAAATGACTTTATAACTTCATATTTTCAATAATTGTTACATAATTAATTAAACATTAATGAGAAATTTGCATTTAATTGTCTCAATGTATAAAAATTTGTGCTGGGAGATACTTTACAACTATCCTCTGCTGTTCTTTGCTGTAGTAAATGATACCAACATTAAAAATTTCCCTATTTTAATTGTCAAATTATAATTTTTAAAAACTATTTTGGTAAAACAACATAAAACATGAGAATCTTTATTAGATTGCAAAGTTTCATTAATTTTATATAACTAATAATGCCAGTAATTAATTTCAAGTACTTTGTTCAATTAATTGTACACTGAGAGAGAACTATCAGTGTACCATGAACTCTGTAATAAATCCTGCCAGCACTACTGATAACTTTTAAGCAAATTCACTATTACAGCAATTATTCAATATGATCCATTTTCAATTAGTTAACAATAAAAAGTGTATCATATATTTTTTTTAGTAGTCAATTGTACATCTTCCAATCTTAAATCAATCAACTATAACTCTAGCATATGTAAACTTATATTAATATTAAGTACGTAAAACATGTACTTGCCCAATTGCATATACATCAGGAAGTTGAACGACATCAACTGGTTCTTTGAGATTTAAAAGACTGCGAAGATCGGACATGGGAGGTCTAGCCATGACATTCCACGTTACAAAATAGATTCTGAATTAAATGAGAAAATGAAAATATTAATTGTTTACATTAATTTCAGAATTTATTAATTAGAATTAGATATAGAATACAGAATATGAATTCTGTATTAATCTATATTACAAGAAAAAAAGAAATATGGATTATTTTACAATTATATTTTTTGTAATCTCTCCAATATTACTGTCAAGTAGAAATTCCAATTCTGTAATTCTGATTTCTCAAACTAATTTTCAATGAGGCAGTATGTGCAGTACGCCATACTTTTTGTATAATTTTAAGTTCATATTTTATCTCTTTTACTCAAGTCTCTCTGTCCATTCTTTCTTTGTTCTATTGTTTCCCTACTTCTAAGAAATTCTGACCCAACCCTTCCCCATCAGGGTGTGGGAAGTTAACAATAGGCTACGGAAGCTGAGGGCAAAACCTCATTTGGGATTTTCATTCTTCGGCTCAACACGGAGGAAGCAAGTCATAGACGAACAAGGCTCCGAGTTCTCGAGACTGACTAGAGCTGGTGAATCAGGCCTCAGAGTAGGAGACCTATGAGAAATTAAGAAAGGAGACTTGAGATAAATCTTCCTCAGGGAAATCATAATTCAGAAGAGAACATCTATTCAGACATGGAGGTTGGAAATGAGAAATCACACCAAGTTATTCATTGAGAAATTGGATACATCTGTCCTATCAATTCTTCCTCCTTCCCTTTCTATCTATACATCTGTCTTTAAATTAATTTTTATGTAGGTTAAGATCTGATTTGCGATTGTAGGATATGTATTATTGTATGATTAATAGTATAGGATTGATAATTGTAACAGAGTCTGTTTTAAATATCTTGTTGTATTGTTATCATAGAGAAACCTGGGAAGTGTATAAAAATTGATACCTGTAAATAATCTGTTCTATCATGAAATTAAAGTTGTTCCGTGGATATCTTGGACAGTATAATTATTCCTTTTGTGTTGAACATAATAAATCAATATAATAATTTCCAAAAATGTAAAAAATCAACTTTATGCTTTGTCTATCATAATTTTACTTTTATAATTAGCTGTTTATTTGGATATGGAATATTTTGTTTGTATAAATATTACATAAATCTATATTCAGATGAATTAAAGAAATCATCTGGAATATGGGTTCCTCTTATAAGCTATTTTCTTATTGTTTGCTATACCTATTTTGTTGTAGAAACTACTTAACAGTGCCATGTACTCATTATGATGAACTCTTCTTTTCTCTTATCATTATTCTCATTGTCTCCTTTTTCTGCTTCCTGTATTAAGGCTTTTATTTTACTTTGCTTTAGTCCTACCTCCCTTGCTAGCTTTGCAATGTATTCAACTTCTTTACGTGTGTCATGAAACTTGCTATAATGCGTGTATGGATCAGATTTACACAAAGAAAACATATCTACTTTGTTAATGTAGAAATCAAGTAATAATAATATAAATTTGTGCAGAAACATTGCACAAATGTTATGAAGCTAAGTTAATTCTATTACTGAAAAAATTTTGCTCCTATCTTGCAGATTATATTAAAACAATAGACAAGTCATGATGCTATTCTAATCATTGTATGATAAAATATGACTTAAAATTACCAGTTTGATATATTGACACAGATAAAATCCATTCATTTATATAAATACATTAAAACAAATTTAGATATTAAATCCAGATGAATTGATAAGTTTTTAGTTTACAGAAAATTTAGCTATAATTAGTTTTTATTAAATTATAATTATAATAAGTATAAAAAAAAACAACTTATTGGCAATCTTTACTAATGCTGTTAGCAGCCTAAAATAACATTTTGAAGACACATTAAATAAAATTTCTAGTTATCAGGGACAAACTTTATAGACACCTTTGTAATATAGATATTGATATCTAGTTAGTATAGATTATTAATATAGGCCTACATCTATTCTCACTAAGTATAACTAAGAAGTTATTTTGAAAAATTTCTAAATTTAATGTTCATAAAAAAAATTTTTAAACGATAATAAATGAAAAAAATATTTTACATTTTATGTATAATTTAAACTAAATTTAATTACTTCCTTTCAGGTTTTCCTCTTATTGAATATGCAATTAAGCTGAAATAAATGATAAGAATATATTTTTAAGGCATACTTTTCTATAATTTTAAAGGTATACTTTTCCATATCAATAAAGAAGATAAAGATGAAAATCTTTATCTTCTTTATTGATATGGAAAAGTATACCTTTAAAATTTGTTAATTTAAAATGTATTTCATCTTTATTCCAAATTTGAAATAAATGTATTAGAGTATAAGAGCTATGTCAGCCAAAAGACATCAGAGCATTTTCATCAAAAGAAATGTAAGTTATGTTCATCATAAAATCTAAAATTGCTCTAAGATAGTAAAATATTGAAGGCATCAACTAATCTGAATCCACGGTTGTTTAATGTCTAGCAAAAAAATTAGCAATAGCTAAAGAATTTGAGATTATAGACAACATTAAATAATTTTTTCGGCTTAGTAAACGTTAATGATAATGAGATAACACTTTCTGTTAGGAATAAGGATTAGATATATCAATAAATCATTGTTATAAGAACACTGACCTTTCTTTAGCCTAAGGCAAATTTGTTCTTTTAATTAATGTTTTAGATTATTAATATTGCATTATATATAAATTAGACCAGTGTAGCATATATAATATTTTTATTGGATAAATTTATTTTAATTATCTTATATAATAATACATTTATAATTATTCTATGTATCTGATATTTTTCAATAGGCCAACATTGCTGATTTAATAAAACTTTCTTTAATAAAAACCTTGAATTAAAAAGTACAAAACTACTTTCTTGTAATTAAATAACAAAAATTCTAACTGCAGGAGCCTATATAATTAAGTGGAAGTACTTCTATATTTTTCATTTGTGTTTTTTATTAACAGAAATTTCATTAATTATAAGATTTTACCGTTTGTTTTCATCAATTTTAAAGTCTTTTATTATAAATAAATTATTTCCTCAATATAGTAATTGCTTGATTCTTTTAATTATAAAGCAATTGAATGACTTATTAATATACAAAATTCCTTTTCTTGTTATTTGTTCAGTTTAAAAATAATTTACTTAGCAAGATAAAGATTTATTTCCTATGCTAGAATTACTTAGAAAATCAGTCAATAGCTCTTTAAAATCTGTTCAAATCTTTAAAAATTTTTCATATATTTATTAAAAAATACATTTAAGAAATATCAAATCATCTGAAAAAGTCCTTAAACATGTTATAAGCATTTAGAAATTTCAGTAAGTTCTCTGTTAGAAATATTC